TATATTGTCCTAAGAGACCTGATAACATTCTGAAACAATCTTTTCTTCTTAGGTAGCATGCAGTGCAAGCTGCCATTTTATTGGCGCTAAAACTCTAATACACAGACAAGATCTCCCTCTATCTTTAGACGTGTACCCATTCCCACCTGGGTGAAGTGAGCAAAATTCGCGTAAAGTGCTATTTCCAAAAACACAACGCCCCTATAGATATAATTTAGATCATAATATAGGGGGCAGGCTGCATTGACCTTACCAGTCAGGGCAAATGTGGAGCGAAATATCCACACTTTTGTTCCTGGGATGATGTGTGCCACACATACCATATTATTATTGGTCCGCAAAAGTAGAGTTGAAGCTGCCTGCTTTCTGATTATTGAAACGTTGTCTTTGATTGTAGGGGGAAAGGTGGTAAAATGTATGCTACCAATGCCCTTTTAAACGCTAAAAATATTATTTTAAGGTAGAAGTACTTGGAAGGGTGAGAAAAGCACAAGATACGAAAGAAAGAAGAAAAAGTCAGAGACCGCAGACTCAAGCAAAGATCATAACATGAGCCCACCTAAAAAGGATATTGATCATCACTAGTCTGTTATTACGAGATATAATAACATACATGATAATACTGTGTTTCAAATCTTGCGAGCCATAGAATAGTTGTACTCCCATCTTCTTTTCTGTTATCATTTCCATGATATTATGATGATAAGATAACATACAAGACAGTACCCCTTTATGATATACTTTACTAGCTAAAAAGAAATAGACTTTTCTATAAAATATACTGTCAAGTTATATTTACAGCAGCAATGTCTTTTATACATCATTATATAATACCATACTATGCTACGTCATAGCATACTATACAATACTATGCCCTATCATAGCATACTACTCGATGCCTTTACCACAGTATATCTTAGAATGATACACTAGACCTTCTCATTACTATAATTATTGTTTAATGTATCAGAGCATGGTATACTATAACACTACACATGATACCATACTGTGTCAGAGCATGGTAAACTGTCATGATACCGTTTCATACTGTGTTGAACCAAAATATGCCATACCACATTTTATCCTACTGTACCGTACAAATCTTTGGATGGCGTCAATGGTGAGCCCTGCCCTTTAGCTTTCCTTTTGGTCTTTGTGTTTCACTATATAATTTTAAAAAATACGAATTTTATCATTTCAGTATGCCTCTCTTTTCGGTACCCAAACAAACAAATACCATACCATACCATACCATACCATACCATACCATACCATACCATACCATACCATACCATACCATACCATACCATACCATACCATGACATACCACCATGACATACCATACCATACCATACCATACCACACTTTGCGAAATGATACTTTGGTATGGTCGCTTTTAAGGACAATGGGGCTAACCCAGATTTCGGGGGTATCCAGAAATCTTGACCTACACCAAAAGTGGGCATTGCTCTACCTATAGGAGAAGTTTGGTTTCATTGGTGTGTATTTTTGTTTGGTTATAGACAAATTCTCCTTGTCTTTTAAAGAAACTGAACAAGGGTCCAAAAACTTTACCTTAGATTTTCTCAAAACTGCATTTCTCGGGATATCCCCCTAGTTCTGAAAAGCGAATATATTTCAAACTATAGGTATGTACCACACGGTGGTATCATATTACTCTGTCAAATACAGCTCCATGATTGTTCTACTCTATACAAAGCCATACTATTATGGCACCAAGTCACTCTATGCCACGCCATTATGGAACATCATGATTCTTCCGCATACCATACAATATCTATTGTATTTTCTTTAGCAAGCCAAGGAACACATTCGAGGCAACATTATCATCGGCATCAAGGTCTGTTTATGATAAAAGTTAGTCCGCCAAGGCCCACTGGTGACCATTGCATATGTATAGGAGAATGTTCCTTAAACGAAACAGAACAAATACAGGTTAAATGACTCTTTTGTGGCTTGTTATTTTTGATGAGACAAATTTTGGCTTACTCGAGTTAGCCACATTTTGAGTATCCAGAGCTCCATTCCCATGTGCTTATACAAAAACAATAACAACAACAACAACAACAAACAAGCATTAACCTGTCGTGCAAAGTACAAGATGTTCCTCTCTCTACAGAACGACTGGCAAGAGCGATAGTTTGACCACACATGGGTGGAGGATATGACCTTGGACTCCATCGCAGAGGTGTCGTTCACTGGCATGCAGCCCATGTACTCTGCCATTGCTGCAGGGAAATGAAAGGGTTAGTTGGGTAAAAAACAATAGTCCCGTGACCGTGGGCTCCGGAAGTTTGTTTTTCACATGTTTTACCATCTTCAAGGTTTAAGTAAGAAAATTAGCCTCCATACCTCTTTTTAAAATGTGGGCGTTACCCGTGAGGCCTTGAAATCCAAGATGGCCGCCAAATGGCAAAATCGTTATTACTCATTGTCTTTTTCCAACACATATGAAGTGCGATACATTACATATGGGGGGTTTTAGGTCAAGAAGTTCATTTTTAGGGTCATTTTTAGTCTTTCGTAAAATATAAGTGCAAAAAATCCAATATGGCTGCCGTCGTCCATATTGAAAATGGAAAAAAAAAACGTTGGTGTCACAAATAGTAACTTAAGGTTCACGAATTAAGGGCATTTAATGATCTAGGATAATTATTTTTTGTATCATCTCATATTTTTTGTATTTTCCAAGCTGTGTAAATCCAGTTTGGCTGCTCATGGAATATGTACACACATACAGCATCCGCAGTATGGGAGCCTTGTCTACACTTTTTGCATATGTGTAAACCAGTGACCATTGATCTATGACACTGCAGCTCAGGATTCGCTGTGTACATCTGATTTAGCAGCATTTTAGAATAGATGCAACCCGCAAAAAATATCGCCGTTAGGGGATGATATGCAGTTTAGACATTCAAAAGATAATCTTACATAGTTAAAAGAACATTAATCTAAAGGACATAACCTGTTTAGTCTTTACTCTCGTCTTAATCTTGATCAGTTTGGTTTACAAGCTTTCTACATTCATTATTGCTAGTATGAATAGAGGCTGTGTATTAAAGCTATCCAAAATTGACAATTGTTGGGGTATCGCAGGAAGACTAGGGCGAACTTGCCAGCATTGCATATTCTACAGTTGCAATCCATGCATGGATAAGGATGGCCTGACATGAATGAGCATAACGTGAACGAAAATAATAATTCATTCAGGTATCCCTTCAGCAGTACCGCCAGAATAGCCCACAAATATGTAAGCCGCTTGGAGTATTTGTGGTGACTATAATAAGTGATAAACCTGATTGAATGCAGATGTCATATTGACTATATTGGCTACTCTTCAGCGTCTGTCAGATGGCATGCCTTAACATTTTGATCCAGTGAGTTTGACATCTCCAGTTGACACCTAAAACTTTTCCATGTCTGTGTCAGGCTGTTCGTACACTTGCTTGGCTAGTTCCTTTTTTTTCAACATTCTCCAAAGCTGCATTGTAGCCACCAATACGAGTTCTTGTGATGCATTGGGAACATTCAGGTTGTCGTTTACATTGACAGATTTCTGCTTCCTATGCTGATGAATCTGTCAGGGACAAGAGCTTCTCTCAACAAAAGAATACACCCAACACCATCTCCCGTTATGTTTCCCTGGGAAAGCTTGGTATACAGTTCAGGCTGCAACCACGAAAGTCAGCCAACCCAGTTCCTTTAAAGAGTATGAAAGAAGCGTATTCGTATGTCATTTTTTAAAATGAAATGCCCCACCCCCCAAAAAATTAAATTGGAACAATATCCTTAAATAGAGTATGGTTTTCCTCTTTGATTTTGACAAGGATTTGGTATGCTAGTCTAGTCGCTAACCAAAAAGGCAAAAAGTATGGATTTTCTTGCTCTGACCGTGTACATTTTTTATGATATCATGCAGAACACACTTACTTGATGGCTCAAGGTATGTTGCATGATTGTATTATTAACTTTTCTTGAGAGGAGGCTGGGAGCCTGCTTGTTCGTCTGAGGGAGATCTATTGTCATCATTGTCTACAAGCGACACTCAGGAACTTCCGGAGGGACTGCTGGCTCACGGTTACTTTCAATTGGACATTAAGTTAATTTAATCTTCAACGTTGCAGTGATTTCGTTTTTCAATATTACTAGTAGGGGACCTTGGTTGTCATAATTTCTCTCACTGGCTTCTTAAAACTGTAGGTAATTTTTGTCGCATGAGCCGTAGTCACATCACCTCATGATGCATCGGCTTTGAAAAGAGCTAATCTTGATCAAAGATGACAATAGCAAGTTTTTCCATTGGCAATTTCTTGTGAAAAAGTAAAAGATGTTTTCATATCCTGCAAATCCATACAGTCCAGATGCTGATACATGTATCGGCATCACTTTTGAGAAGAATATCCGTCAAATTTCTGCTCCTTTTGACACCGTGCATAGGCCTACTTATGCCCATCTTAATGCCTGTGCTCGCAATTTCTCCACGTACTTAGTAAATATGCATTAAAGCTAAACCATAAGTTGTTGGCCTATACATATTTTTTTTCCAGATTCTTGAGCAGTGTTATACAGTTACGTTTCAAGAGTAATGGGGCCATTTCTCCACTTTCTTCAAGCTCTTTTGTCAGGTAGCCAGGTTACTGTGTCTCTTTTCTGTATCTGTTACACAATCGAGGTGCAACATTTTGGATCACCTACTGGTCGCTTACATCGAGAGCTTGTATTGCTGACCTGATATAATCTTCCCGTTTGTTCTTTTCCTTTTCGTACTTAAAGCCTATGGAATCTCTGCATTTATTAGTACGGAACTCCCACCGATATGCAGATTTCATATCCTCAACTGCATACCCACAGTCATCGGGAATGTGCTTGTGATCTTCAAGAAGTGACTTCAATGAACGTATATATTTGTCCTATAAAAATTTGTTATGCTATCAAAACGTTTTGAATCAAAAATCTGAAAGATTTATTTTCAAAAGACTCGTTGCCGAAACAGACTCTCCACTGCCTTGGGATACGTACTTGTTCCAACATGCATGGTGGTAGCTGATGTTTGCTAAAGAACCAGACAGGGAGGACGTAGACAAGGACATTTTTGACAGTCCATCTTTAATGTCTGAATCTTCACGCCGGAAAAGTCTTGCCGTCGTTTCTTTCCATTTAAAGTTCAAGGGGTTTTTTTTTAAGTGTGTGTGTGGGTTGTTGTTATTTTTTAAAGTATTATAATTATTGTGAAAGAATCAGAAGGTACATGAACATGTTCCATGGGACATTTGTCCACTGAGTGGATTCATAGAGATCACACATTTATCAATCCCTCACCACTTTCAGATTTTGTTTTCACAGTGTTTCACGGAGACTGGTTTATATATGAGAGGGTTTGAGTGCCTTTTTCAATAAACGTGTTTAAGCAAACACTCACACAAGACAGACACATTGTTCTCGTATTACCAAAAAAACAATTTTTTGAGTAAAAAATAAGTGTTATACTGACATCATTTTCTCATTTTTTTATGTTGCATTTATCTGAAAAGAAGAGAAATACCAGTTTAGAAGCGTGGTGGATGCAAATCAATACCTTTGGGGCTAATATATTTGATTAAAGTACAAGTAGGGCATTATTTACTATCCGCAGGCAAAATGGGGCAAATATTCCTCTTCACCGTAAGCGACCAATCACAAGTCAAAATCTATGAATGAGGGCAATAAGTATGTTACTGTATAATCAGACAGATAGAGAGAGAGAGAGAGAGGGGGGGG